CTCTTATTTTCTAAATTTCCTGAATTCAGTAATAATGCTTGCCATGGTTTGATTTGAACATACTGGTTAGTCATTGAATACTGGAATCACTTAACAAGGTGTAGAGCTGGATGAACACATCTGGCCGAGCAGAAAGGCTGATGTTTCGGGCCTAGACCCTTCTTCAGAAATGTGGGAGGGGAAGGGGGTTCTGAAATAAATAGGGAAAGAGGGGGAGGCGGATAGAAGATGGATAGAGGAGAAGGTAGGTGGAGAGGAGACAGACCAGTCAAAGAGGCGGGGATGGAGCCAGTAAAGGTGAGTGTAGGTGGGGTGGTAGGGAGGAGATAGGTCAGTCCAGGGAGGACAGACAGGTCAAGGGGGTGGGATGAGGTTAGTAGGTAGGAGATGGGGGTGGGGCTTGAGGTGGGAGGAGGGCATTGGTGGGCGGAAGGACAGGTTAGGGAGGCGGGGACGAGCTGGGCTGGTTTTGGGATGCGGTAGGGGGAGGGGAGATTTTGAAGCTCCTACTGTCACTGGAATCACTTGTAGACCATACCCCATATCCTACTCTTCAGGAAAGTTATCTGCTTCAATCCACAAGAGTATTCACCTCCAGTCATATCATCACCACTAAAACTCATATCCATACTCAGTTACACCCATCCTCCTGTGGTTTTGAGTCATTATGTACTCTGCCCTGCACTGAACCTTTCTTGTGTAACTCTTCATTCACTGGCACATTATTCCCCGAAGTCGTCATGATTTCAATTAGCAATGTAAAGTAGAATCATGGCATAAAATCAGAGAATCCTTAGTGTGGAAGCAGGCCATTCAGCCTATCAACTCTACACCAACCCTCTGAAGAGCAGCCAACAACAGACCCACCCCTTTACCCTATCCCTGTAACCCCGCATTTCCCATGGCTAATCCACCTAACCTGCACATCTTTGTACTGTGGGAGGAAACTGGCGCACCCAGAGGAAACCCATGCAGATATGGGGAGATTGTGCAAAATCCACACAGACAGTCATCTGAGGGAGGTATTGAACCTGGGTCTTTGACACTGTTAGGCAGCAGTGTTATCCATTGAGCCACTGTGCCACCCAAAATAGTTACTGGTTAATTAATGATTATTGATTTTGCCAGTAATAGGTTAATATTTAGAACAGATTGGGTAAATGATTTTGTGACATAAAATGAAAAGAGCAATACCGGTCAGGTATCCCTTATCCATACTTCCAAAAATCAAAATGTCCTAAAAACCAAAGGACTTCTCGAATGCAGACCCAATTGGACCCAAACAGTCTTGTAGATATGCTGAGTTTGGGGTCCTTTGGAAAATGACTGCTTGACCTGAACAAACCTAAAAGCAAGAGATAGTAGGAACTGCAGATGCTGGAGAATCCAAGACAACAAGGTGCAGGGCTGGATGAACACAGCAGGCCAAGCAGCGTCATAGGAGCAGAGAGGCTGACGTTTCGGGCCTAGACCCTTCATCAGAAAAGCCATTTCTGATGAAAAACCTAAAAGCAAGTTTGTTTTCCAAAAGCCCAAATTCAGCAGGTCAACAGATGTCATAGATAGTCATAGTCATAGAATCCCTATAGTGTGGAAACAGGCCCTTCGGCCTAACAAGTCCACGCCAAACCTCAGAGTAGCCCACCCAAACCCATCCTCTATAAACCACCTAATCTACACATCCCTGAACGCTACAGGCAATTTAGCATGCCAATCCATCTAGCCTGCACATCTTTGGACTGTGGGAGGAAACCCACGCAGACACGGAGAATGTATGAAGTTTGCACAGTCACCCAAGGGTGGAATCGAACCCAGGTCCCTGGTGCTGTGAGGCTGCAGTGCTAACCACTGAGCCACCATGCTGCCCGTAAAACTCGACTCTGGTGGGACCCGAACGCACAACATTTGAATAGCTCTCAGTACATCCATAGAAGTCCAATGCGCTCTCCGTTGTGCCACAGAGCCTCACCTAACAATAAGGGCTCGTCCGGGATTTGAACCCGGGCCCCCTCGCTCATTCGTCATATGCAGTAATCCCCAAAGCAAGAATCATATCCCTAGACCAGTGATGTGCTTGTGACCTTTGTGGGAAAAGTTAAAATTTGCTCTTAGACTCATTTGAGTTTGTTGGGACCAACCAAAGGTTTTTGTTTTCACCCAAATGGACCTAATGTATGTTCGGATCTATCTGAAAATCAAAAATATCCTTTACCTGAGAAACAGCCAGTCCTGAGGCTTTCAGATAAAGGATTCCCGATACTAACATCACCTGAGTTATTGTGGTGTTAGGACACTGTTTTTCCACAGCAGGAAGTTAATTTGAAGATGGGTCAAAAAGAAGCAGTGCCTGGAATAATTTCATAAAAATGGAGGAAAATGCCATTAAATGTAAACTGTACTGCAGTGCTGGGTTAAGTGAACAGCACTATTGCAGTTCTGAAGCATTTAAAGTTCAAATAGTAATGGAAACAAAACCACAAAACCCAGGGAAAGTGTGTTTTGTGTGACAAAAAAGAAAATGCAACATGTGAAATGCCCAAATCACTATGGATATGCTGAGTACGTGTCATTGAGGGTGCAGGTTTTCATGCATTGATGAATTTTGTAGAAACTGAATACCATGTGCCTGTGAGACAGGCAATAACCTCGCATCTTGTGATGTGTGATGTGTGCTGTGTGATGTCTTTGTGGGAAAAATTGGAACATGCCTTTACAGCTTTCCCCACCGATTGATGGACAGCATTAACTGCAGAAAGCTAGGTGACTGTAAATTGTTATTATATTGAGAATTTGGGGCTTTTATCTGCAGTTCCTGGAAACTGAAAGTGAGGCAGAGCAACATACAGCAGAAAGCCTGGCTGAAATATTGAACCCAATGGTGAAAAAATGGGAGTTTGTAGACCACATCTTGGCATGCGTACGCAGTCTTGCAGGCGACATTGCACTAACTGACAGTGCAATATATTGCATGGAAATCTGAGAATTGTTTCCATCCCTTGCAGCAAGTCATGAACAATGGCTTTTCTTCAGTGTGAATTGTACCATTGCAGTTGCAAACAGGTTACTTGCATACTTCTATCACAGCACTGTGGTGACAAAAGCACTTGAAAGAAAATACATGCAACTTCAGATGAACGACACTTGGAGCCAGTGTTGTAAAACTCATTGGAATTTGAGCAAAGGTGGCTACAATAGCTTTCCTTTTAGATTGTTCTGAGCTATCTGCCTTCACAGTTCAACTGCACAATGAGCAATAGCAACTAATTGAGAACATCATCTTACCATTGCAGCTGCAATGAATCCTGAACATTCAGTTTAAATTTCAAACGTCTTATCTAATTTGCAACAGTCTTCTCAAATTCATCTCCAAATTGAAATTTTTTCCAATAGGGGAAAAGTTGTTGATTTCAAGGCTGCTGTTTGACACACTCTGGAGTGTGGCATGAAACCAAACGATCCCGTTTTAACCTATATTTTTGGTTCTTTATTAGATCCACAATATAAACACATGCGACTTGTTCCATCTGCTATGCAAATCACTGCTAAATAAAAGCTTTTGTAAGTTGCAGTGATAGGAGAAATAAAGAACCTTGCATTGCTGTAGCTGAACTAGATGACCCTATACAGCTCTCAGCAAAAACAATGCATGAAACTGAAAAGAATGCTATAATGAAGCTTTTAAGTAAATGTTACACTGAGATGAGGAGAATGTAATTTCAAACTTGTTTTCCATTACAGTCAGGGTTTCTTGTCAAATATTAGTGATGGAAGATAAATGCAGCATTTTCCTAAGTTTGTTGAATTGGTGAAGAGTTACCTGTGCATTCCAGGATCATCAGTACCTGCAGATTGTTTTTTTCAATGCTAGTTTTGTCCTTAATCACTGGCATTTGTATTTATTAAACACAGCTGTTGACATTTAAATGGTTAACTGATGTTTTTAACCATTTACAATTTACTTTTTAAAACCATATTTGCATCCATATTTCAATATTAATTATACATTTTATTCCTTCACATGTGGTACTCTGCAGCAGTAAACTTTTTTAAAATCCTTCCTTATTAGTCAATTGGCAGGTAAACATCTGTCTGTTTCTTGCCCTGAGCTAGCCAACATAATGCTTGTGATCAATTTTTGGAAATAGTCTAGTTGCATCTCAACTTGTACCCAAAATTTGGGAGTTGTAGATAACTGTGACCTTTATTTTTGGCAGGCATGGGTTGAATGAGAAGACCTGGCACAGCAGGACGATAGAAAACCTATGAGAGCAGGGGAGGGGACTGAGCTACTGGGTGGCCATTTCATCTTCTAAGCATGTGATCCCAAATGTTCAGTTTGCAATTCTAACTGTGGTCCCAACCCCAATTTTGGAAGCCCTGTTCTAGATGGTCTTGTTTCATGGTGTGATTAACACATTGCACTGCACAGTTTTCCAGGATTAAACCTCATCGTACAGAATCCCTGTAGCCCATGAAGATTTGAACAATTTTAATCACAGGGATTTATTTACCACTGTAATACTAATCATAATGCTATCTGTGCAAAATTCTGTGAACTATTCATTCCAAAATCATTTTCACTTTTGGTCAGCAATGAATACAGCTACCATGACCCTTGCCAGCTTTAATATGTTTAAGCTATGCAGGAGGTTCAAAACTAACACCTAGTAGTAAGGGGAAAAACTGGTCAGAAAATGCCTTGCTGCACCAAACTGAGAATGCATTTCAATATGGGACTTTTAAGGCAATTTCAATGGTAAAAGCGGAGGGGCTGCATCATTTGATAGTACATATAGACATTGTGAAAGTGTCTGGAAGCGAGTGTCAGTAAGATGTATATTTTTTAAAAGTGACTTTAATACTAAATTTAGACGATCGGAGTTTAATGACCAATCGTTGGAATCTTTTTCTTGTTCGTGTGTGACCAAACTTAAATCGGAGATTTGGGAAGTGATTTCTGGATCTTAGAGTCTTGTTTGTTTTTTTATTTTACAGCAGAACAGAAGCTTTCTCTAAATCTGGAGAGGATATTGGCTTTCAATTGCTTATGAAACCTTGTTTCTATCAGAAACAGAGTGGAAAATGCTCCCAGGGGTCGGTGTGTTTGGGACAGGTACAACTGCACGGGTTTTGGTACCTCTGTTGCGTGCTGAAGGTTTCACCATTGAGGCACTCTGGGGAAGAACAGAAGAAGAGGCCAAGTTGTTGGCAGAGGAAATGAACATTTCATTCTACACGAGTCGGACTGACGATGTTTTGCTCCATCAGGATGTAGATCTTATCTGCATCAATATTCCTCCGCCTCTCACCTGCCAAATTGCTGCTAAAGCATTAGGTACAGTATTTCTTTATTCTGATTACTGTAAGCTAGATCATGAAGTATACCATGCTATCATGAGATTTTAAAGACTTCTCAATACTGAGAGTTCTGTATATACTAATTGTAGTAGTTTCAGTACCCAGTGTGTAGGTATTACATTTTTAAAACTCCCCATTTCTAAGTATTGATTCACCTTTTCTGTTTAGAAATTGGCAGGCTGTGGATATTGCTTGTTCCACATTCTGTTGCTTGTGAGTGCATCTCGGTAAACAAATTTGTTCTTTATCACATCTATGGGAGCATGTATGGTCAGCACATCTTAACTTTGCATAAAAGCTAAATACAACCTGGCAGTTTATGGCATTGCTTTGAGTTCTGCTGTAAATTAAATGTTAAGCTTGACTGTTTCAAATAATTCTGACACATTAAAGGGAAAAATATATACGATGACTTTATTGATCACAGTGGCATTACACATGTAACCATATGCTAAAGGATTCATAGGGTATTGTTATTCACAGATAAATGCAACTGCACCAAATCAAGTAAATGTTTGCTTAAATATTTGTATTTAATCAGCTTCTAGATCTTCATGTAAATTTCACTTAAGTGTACGTGTTCAATTGCACATTGTCATTTTCAACTATTCTGCTAGCGGTAATGTCAGTATTTTTGCAGTGAAGGCAGCAAAGAAAATCATAAGTAAAGATTTTTTTTTATGTGAAATGCAACTCTTGTAAAAACACCACAACCTTGTGAGCTTACCAGCTGGTAAACAGTAACTATAGAACATTGGCACTGAACCTGGTAAGTGAATTCTTTTTATAAAGTTTATATCGTTTTAGTCAAATGTTGAATCATACATATAGGCAAACAACTGCCAGAACCAGTGGAAATGTTACGTTTTTGCTCAATTACTTCTGCTTAACTTCAATGTTAAGCCACAAATGTGACTAATATTTATATCACTTGAACTGAAAACAGTCGTAAAATGAGGACTGCTCATCTATTTGAAGTTACGATTTGTATGCAACAGATTAGGATTTATTAAAAGGCCTGGTGGTTCCTTGCATTGTTCAGTTTCCCTGCATAAAGAGATTTTAGGAAGCTTGATCTTTCAATGATGCAAAAGAGTACACCTGCCTCCTATATAACCAGCTGAAGCTATTGGGAATTTCAGACTGGAAACAAATGATTCCAGGCTATGTATTGGAGGAACCTTTGCTCCTAAGACTTTCTGGATGTTCAGCTTTTGGTGCGTGTCACTGACAGCATTATGACAAATTACCACCTGGATGAGACACCAGAGTTACCTACCACTTATCCATCCCACCTTTCCCACTGACCAATCCTCACTATCTCCTACCTGCATCCACCTATCACCATCCTACCTACCTTCTGCTAGCCCCACCCCTCCTCCCTTTATTTCCAGCTCCCTCCTTCCTCCCCAATCCTGACAAAGGGTGTAAACCCAAAACGTTGACTTTCCTGCTGCCTGACTTACTGTGTTCCTCGAGCTCCACACTGTATTGAATCCAGTATGAATTATCAATTTTTAAGAAATGAATGTTGGGGGAAGGAAGGGGAGAAACAACCATCTTTTCCATTTTCTTTTAAGAGCTCCCCCACCATTAGTACAGATGGCTTTTGATTTCCGAATGTCCAACTTACAAACACACATTTATGAATGAGATTCCGCACAATAGTGCATTAATAGTAATTTTAAAGTTCCAACCTGTGAATGTTTGTTTGTTTTGTTTTGTTTGTTTGTTTGTACTTGCCAATGGCTATTTCATATTGTATTGAGTTCTACTTTGCGTATGAATTGACTAATGAATGTACTCAAGAACAGAACCAATTCGTAACACTGGGACTGCTGGTACTGCTTTCTACAAATTATATATCAAACTTCTACCACCATAATATAAAAGTTTTTGTAACATGAAACTAGAACATCTACATGAGACATATAGAGGAAGTTGTTGTTTAATGTGATTATTCTATTTCTGAAAATTTACATTAGTTGTATTGTTTGAGTTATGTAATTCTCTTCTTCTGCAATAAACTTTGCTTAGGAAGTTATTGAATACAATGTCCTCAGGATAAGTAACTCCTTTCCTCGAATGGGAGGCTGAAACATTTCTGTAGGCTTTGGCTCATAGAAAATACTGGTTAAAAAATTTTGGGGTGGCTGTCTGGGCTAAATGTTGTAGATCGCATTTTATTGCAAAATATCAGTACTTCACTGATTTCCCAGGCAAAGATAAATCACTTCGTTTCTTTGGCAACCAGTTACACAAAGTTCATTGCTAAATTGAGGAAACAGCCAGACAGGAAGCTGGGGTGGCAGGGCATACCCTGAACATGAATGCATTGTGATATTGTGTAGACATAATGTTATCTTGGAGCAATCAAATACATGGTAATTGTAGATATTTTAAGTCGTCTTATACTAAATGTGTAGATGCCTCCATTAAATCAATACATCCTTTTGTAATTTAGGTAATTTTGTTTTATTCCCTTCTAATGCTGTCATGATTTAAATCTGTAAATAGAGGAGTGTTCAACTGCAGTACTTATCTTATTTCACTTTTTGAAGTTGTCAAGAACAGACCAGAATTTTCTAACAAAATAATGGTGGGAGCAAAAGTATTTGTTATAATTTTATGTGCATTTGCTTTTTTAAAATTTGTTCACGGGATATGGAAGCTATTGAAGGAGCTTTTGGGGAGTAGTTGTAGTGCATCTCATGGAAGATACATTCTGCTGCCATTGTACTTTGATGAAGGAAGTAAATGTTGAAGATGGTGATGAGGTACCAATCAAGTGCTTTGCCCTTGATGGTGTGAGGCTTCTTGAATGTTGTTGGAGCAATCATCCCGGCAAGTAAAGAGTATTCCATCTCATTCTCTTGACTTGTGCCGTATAAACAGTGGGCAGTCATTAGGTAGACAGGAGGTGAGTTATTCACTGCAGAATTCCTAGCCTCTGACCTGCTCTTGTAGCCACAGTATGTTATATTTTCTGCAAAAGCTTAAGGCCAGTTCAGAGTTAAATAAGGAGTCCAAGATCTGCTTCATTGTTAACAAAAACATCTTTCTATCTGCCTCACCATTGAAATCCATTTACAGTATGAAGTCACTGCATTTGCACTAGTCACAAAATTACCTTGCATGAGGAATTTTTTTTCTCCATTTAAGCCTATGTATTCTGTAACAATGGGCCAAATGTTAATTACTGCCAAAAAACTTATCCGGCTGTAAAATTAACAGTTACAAAGAGGGAATCTCACTTCTTCAGGTTTTACTTGTTGGAGATTTTAAAAATTAACATTTTTAAAAAATATTCTTCCTTGTCCTCTTTACTGTCTCATCCCAATATTTCCTTTTCCTTGCCCATGTATTTCACTTTCTGTACCAGATTTCACAGTGAATTTGCCCAGTCTATTTCATGTACTCTGAGTCCATGTGCTAGTAGTTTCACAGTCCTTCAATCTGGTTAAGGAGATATGTAATCGTTTCTACCAGAGTCCCAGGTGCATGGTTTTCCTTGCAATATTATCAGCTCATGTCTTCAACTTTCTGCATTGATTTAGGTAGTTACATCTAACTAATGGCAGGTGTCCTTTTGTTGCCCTGCTCTGTCAAATATGGTAGACTATCCTTTGTTTTTGCCTCTAGAAACATTTCTTTAATCTATGTATTTTGTCTATCTATAGCTCCTCTTTGGCTGAAGTGTTACATTGGGAAAACAATCACGTTTGACTTGCTAATCTGTTGACACCCTTTTCTTCTGTGTTACAAATTATTGTAACTGTTTAAAATTAAGCTTTCTTATGTTTGTCCTGGAGAGTGCAAGACAAAAAGCTTCAGTAACTTGTCTCCCACTTCAGCAATATGTCTTATTTATAATTTTCTTTACTTAACAGCAATTAACTTGAACAGTCTAGCATATGTCCAGTTTTACAACTAAAATGTTTGTGCATGTATTCAATGATTCTGTGAAATCTCTTCTGGCCCCATTGTTCCTGCAGGCAGCAGGGTAGAAACATAGGATTGAGTTAGGCTCTATGTTCATGCAATCAGACCCAATCTCACTGACTGGAAGGCAGGAAAAGAAATTGAAAATTGTTAATGGTGTAAAATGCTTACGACGGATCCATCCTACTTTTGATGTGTATATCTTTTAAATGTAAAACATTTTTCATTGCAACTATAGTAGAGTTGAATAGCAAATACTTTAAATCTCCAGAACATAATATTTGAGAAATGAAAGTTTTTAAGAAGTCATATATGACCATGTTTAGCCTGGGATCTGCAATGTAATTTCTCATGTCAGCTGTAATCTTACGGCAGCAGGTAAACCACACTTTCGACAAAGTACTTGTTGAAATGAATAAGGCATTGGAGGAGGATGGTATGGTCAACCATATCAAGAAGGATAAGGACGGAAAGATTACCATTATTGCAGTCACAGGATGTCATTTGTGATTTGATCTATTTTGATACTTTGACAAGGACAAAAACCTCACTGCAGGAGTTTAAACATGGAGTCCTAGCAAAGTTAGAAACTGACTCAGAAAGTGACAGTACTTTCAAAGACGGTGGAAACAAATAGGGGCATTGGAGAAGGGAAAATCCTTTTTCAAAGATGCAGGGTATTCAAGGGTTGCCTTATTGAGTGGAGGGGTGATGACAAATTTAAAGGAGGAAAAGATAGCGTCTGAAAAGAGTTATTTATTACATAGGCCAACATGAGGGCTAAGGGGGGAGGTTTGTGATAAGCAGTTCAGTGGGAACAGGATCGAAGATCTTTAGAAATTAACTTTTAAAAGTTACATTTTTTAATATTATGCAGTAACTTTAAAAAAAAATGGCAACCGAAATCAAAATGAAATCCTTTCCCTGCCTCACATTTCTCCTTTAAGACACTCCTTAAAACCCGCCTCTTTGAAAAGGTTTATTTTTTATTTTATCAATAAATTGATCCATATCGTTTGTGACTTGGTGCTTCAT